GATAGATTTACTTATTTATTTATTATTTTTATTACTGAGATTTATTACTGACCTTTATTGTTTCCCTAAATAGCTCAAGGCAGTGAACGTACCGAAGAGTCCTTCGTCCCTACAACACCAAGCTTGTGAGGTAGGCTAAGACTGAGAGAGGGAGACTGGCTCAAGGTCACCCAGCAGACTGTCGTGCCTTGGATGGCCCTGGTCAGTACTTGGAGCGGAGGCTTCTTTCCTAATTCGCCTCCTACGGTCATCAGAAGCAACCTAGTAGGGTCAGAGATGGCCAAACTGATCGATTGCTGATACCGACATCTTTGCACTCTTTTGAGAGGTGATTTGTCTTGAAAAGGAGTCAGAATCAAATGGGAAGTTGGGGCAGTTAGAAGGGAGGTCATGATCGATGCATTATGTCCGTGTTTCCCAAAATGGGCCACTTTAAGGCCGGTTAGCAAAATGGCCCCTAAACGGAGGAAGGATGTGACTGTGTCTCTCCATTTCTTCAGACAGGTCAGCAACAGGGAAGAAACGGCCCTAAAGTGAATATCCCTGGGCTATCTCTCAGCGGCCAGTGATGGTCTCCATCTCCAGGTTAAGCAGCCGAGAGATGCCTTTGACCTTCAGACCCAGGAATTCAAGAGACAAACAATGGATGAAAGAGCAGCACACTTGCCTCAAGAAGATGGTCGATCAACTAAAGAGCACAACAAAAAAGTGGCAGAAAACTGCTGGACAAAAGAGAAAGGTTGGAGCGTGCCACCACCATGATCCCTCAGCGAGGACTAAAGATCAAATATTTGGTGAAACACACTGAAGAACTGCACAAAGAACGCTGCAGGTCAGCAGCCAAGCGGCCTTTCTCAAATATGAGAAGGCTGCCTTAGAACCTTTGAGAAGAGGTCTCGAAGAAGTCTGGAACCTTCTTAAGAACTGAAGAAGCACCTCTAAAGTCTGCAGCATGAATAGGTTGAGACGGACCAAAGTTACTATGCGGAGAAAAGCCACTCCAGCCAACTGATGCAGAAAGTCAGTCCTCTTCAGCAGAATGTGAGGGAAAATAAGAAGAAGCAAGTCAACAATCTACAGCAGCAACAGCAGCCGCCGCAGAGCTATGCTTCCCAGGCCATTATTGGAGACCTGTGGAAAACTGAGGAGGACCACGGAGAAGGACTGAACCATGTCAAAATGACGATGCAAGAATTACAGCTGCAGACGAGGTGTTTCGAGAAAGACAGTGAAGATCTCCACAGGGAGGTCCCCAGCCAATTGACCTTCTTCAGAAATGGTTTTTGTACTCCTAAGCGACCAGCACATGGGACAACTCGCTGACCCTCTCTCCCCATAGCTGGAATGGAGGAACGGTGGCCTTTTACCCTTTCGAGAAAGAAAAGGAATTCTTCCCCTCCCTTCCCCTGACTTGCCACTTAATGTGCCGGGGAGCCAGGTGACCCCCCCCACCAGCTGAAGCAACAGCTTCACCCTCTCCCTCCCAGTCACTGATTTTTCTGACACCCCAGCACTTCCCGGGCGAGTCCCTGATGCCATTAATGGTCATTAAGCAAGTGCAGTTTTGCCCATTGCTGTCACTTGTCATAACTCCAAGCCGATCGCCCTGCACCCAAGTCATGAGCGTGTGACCCTGGGGTTGCTGCTACAGTCATATGTGCAAGGACCCGTGATACATCACACTTTTCAGTGCCATTGGAACTTTGAACGGTCCCAAAAGGAAAGGCTATAAAACAAGGACTATTGCAGGGTACTTGTTTAGGGACTGTACAAGATTTAATCTTTTTGTTTCTTTACCCACATTCTCATAACATCTTTTTAAGATAAATAACATCTAATCCTTATGTGTATTTCCCTTTGACTCCAATTGACATGGACACAAAAACCTGGATTCTCTGGATCTCTAATGCTAGATTTCAGATGCAAGGGACAACGTTTTAATTTGGACTTTACCCCCAAAACAAGGGGCAACATCTGTGGCTTCCCAGCTCTCCGGACAATGGACAGTTGTCCATTCAGGTGGAGGAGCTCTGGAGGATGAGGATTCAGGGCTCACTTGCAAAAGCCCCTGAAGAGCCGGCCAATCAGTGAATAAGCCAGGCCCTCCAGTGAAGGCAGCCAGTTGGTGATTATTTTTCAACTCTCCAGAAAGGGGCTGGGACTGGCTGGCTGGCTATCTAGAGAAAAAATGGGCTTCAAGATGTCCCAGTTCAAGATAGGCATTGACCACCAAGCTGGAAACTGACCGGGCTCAAAGATTTGGGGAAATTAAGCTAAAAAGGGACTCCTTTGGCTAGATATGGTTATTTCCCGAACACACTCGGCCTGGTGATAGATTTATCTATATTTATTTATTATTTTTATTACTGAGATTTATTACTGACCTTTATTGTTTCCCTTAATAGCTCAAGGCAATGAACATGCTGAAGACTCCTTCGTCCCTATAACAACAAGCTTGTGAGGTAGGCTAAGACTGAGAGAGGGAGACTGGCTCAAGGTCACCCAGCAGACTGTCGTGCCTTGGATGGCCCTGGTCAGTACTTGGAGCGGAGGCTTCTTTCCTAATTCGCCTCCTACGGTCACCAGAAGCAACCTAGCAGGGCCAGAGATGGCCAAACTGATCGATTGCTGATGCCGACTCCTTTGCACTCTTTTGAGAGGTGATTTGACTTGAACAGGAGTCAGAATCAAATGGGAACTTGGGACAGTTAGAAGGGAGGTCATGATCGATGCATTATGTCCATGTTTCCCAAAATGGGCCACTTTAAGGCCGGTTAGCAAAATGGCCCCTGAACGGAGGAAGGATGTGACTGTGTCTCTCCATTTCTTCAGACAGGTCAGCAACAGGGAAGAAACGGCCCTAAAGTGAATATCCCTGGGCTATCTCTCAGTGGCCAGTGATGGTTAAGCAGTCAAGAGATGCCTTTGACCTTCAGACCCAGGAATTCAAGAGACAAACAATGGATGAAAGAGCAGCACACTTGCCTCAAGAAGATGGTCGATCAACTAAAGAGCACAACAAAAAAGTGGCAGAAAACTGCTGGACAAAAGAGAAAGGTTGGAGCGTGCCACCACCATGATCCCTCAGCGAGGGCTAAAGATCAAATATTTGGTGAAACACACTGAAGAACTGCACAAAGAACGCTGCAGGTCAGCAGCCAAGCGGCCTTTCTCAAATATGAGAAGGCTGCCTTAGAACCTTTGAGAAGAGGTCTCGAAGAAATCTGGAACCTTCTTAAGAACTTAAGAAGCACCTCTAAAGTCTGCAGCATGAATAGGTTGAGACGGACCAAAGTTACTATGCGGAGAAAAGCCACTCCAGCCAACTGATGCAGAAAGTCAGTCCTCTTCAGCAGAATGTGAGGGAAAATAAGAAGAAGCAAGTCAACAATCTACAGCAGCAACAGCAGCCGCCGCAGAGCTATGCTTCCCAGGCCACTGTTGGAGACCTGTGGAAAGCCGAGGAGGACAACGGAGAAGGACTGAACCATGTCAAAATGACGATGCAAGAATTACAGCTGCAGACCAGGTGTTTCGAGAAAGACAGTGAAGATCTCCACAGGGAGGTCCCCAGCCAAGTGGCCTTCTTCAGAAATGGTTTTGGCGCTCCTAAGCGACCAGCACATGGGACAACTCGCTGACCCTCTCTCCCCATAGCTGGAATGGAGGAACGGTGGCCTTTTACCCTTTCACTCCCTTCCCCTCCCTTCCCCTGACTTGCCACTTAGTGTGCCGGGGAGCCAGGCGAGCCCCCCCCCCCTACCAGCTGAAGCAACACCTTCACCCTCGCCCTCCCAATCACTGCAGGGCTGTCAGCTGAGCTGAACACCTCACAGCCACCGAGCATCAGGGCCTCCGAGGGATGGGGAATCCCAGGGCTCCGAGCCAAAAAGGAGCCTGGAGGTGAACTTGGTAGGGTGAGTCCACAGGCTCCTCTCCAAGCCTCAGAGTTCCAGCTGAGGATGAGGGCCACCAGGGACAGGGTGAGGGCTCTGCGGTGGGCAGAGCAGAAAGTCTGGCCAGAACAGGATCTGGAACCCACAACCGAGTGGCTGAATGAGCCGAGCAGCTGGCATCCCAGCAGCCCACAGGAGAGGAGCAGAGAGGAGAACAGCTAGAAGCCGAACTGGGAGCCGAGGGGTCCGCAGGAGACGCCACGAGGCAGCAGAGACCCCCGGAGGCCGCAAGGCTGACGGAGCTGGTGGCAGAGCTGGAAGACAGGGCTGGGCTGAGGGTCTCGGGGGCAGGCAGACATTCCTGCTGCTCCAGAGCCTGCAAGAGAGTGGCAACAGAAGGGAGAAGCCGGGGGTGGTCAGTGGCCTGTGGGTGGTCAAGTAGTCTTAGGGGTGGTAGAACATAAGAGATTGATTCATAGGGCTGGAAGGGACTTTGGAGGTCTTCTACTCTAACCGTCTGCTCAAGGCAGGAACTTTCTGCCATCCCAGTCAAATAGTTTGCTTGTCCATTTTTGAAAACTTCCAGTGATGGAGCACTCACAACTTCTTACTGTCTCAAAATTTCTCCTGACTTCTTGGTTGGGTCTCCCTTTCAACGTCCACCCTTGGCTTTTTTCCTGCTCTGCAGTTCTTAAGTCACTCCCTGTCCTTTGAGACAGACCCTAACAGTCTGGAAGACTGCTGTTGTGTCTGCCCGATCCTTATCCTCTTCGATAGGTTACACATAGCGAACTCCCTGAACCGTTCATGAAACGATTTAGCCTCCAGCTCTTAAATCATCTTTGTTGCTCTTCTCTTCACACTTTCTGCAGTCTCAACAATGTTTTCTATCGGTCTGACCAGAATTGGATAGAGTATTCCAAGGTGGTCTCACCAGTGCGATATAAAGCGGTAGCAGCACTTCTGGCCATCTTGAAACTGCCCCTCTTTTATTGCTGCCTAAGACTGCTTTGGCCTATGTTGACATCTGCAGCACACATCTGGCTGATCCTTCAGTGGTTTTCCTCTAGATCCGTCTCACAATTATCCCTGCTGAGCCAGGTACCGCCCATTCTGTGCCTGTGCAATTTATTTTCCTGCCTAAGGAAGAACTGTACTTTTCTCACCAATGAACTGCATCCTGTTCAGGTCTGTCAAGATCCTCTTAGATGTTGAGCCTATCTTCCAACAATCTTGATGTCCTCTGCACATTTGATGAGTTCCCCTTCTATCCCCTCATCTAGATCATTGATGAAGATGTGGAAGAGATCTAGGCCGAAGGCAGATCCCTGAGGTACCCCACTGAATGCTTCCCTTCTTGTAGATGTAGCGGTAGCTCCATTAAGGAATAAACACTGGGTGCGGCTGGTCAGCCCCCTGACGACCCACCACTTGATTCTCTATTCCAGGATTTTCCCAGGAATTGATGTCAAGCTCTTTTTCCAGTTCTCTGAGAGCTCCCCTGGGCTGCAGGAGCATTCAGAAATGACGTTTGGTGACACCAAAATTAGGTCGGCCAGCTCCTTTGGAAGCCTGGGAGGGTCGGCGTGATTTCTACCCATCCAGAGTGGATTGGTCCTCTTTGACTAATTTCGTGCCTATTTGGAATCGTATATAGATTCTATCTCTCTCGATGTTGCTGTTGATAGGCTGTTTTTTTTTCTTTTGCTGAAAAAGAGATGGAAAGGAGTTAAGCATTTCTGAATTCACCCTGCTGCCTGTCTCCTTCCTGCCTTCTGCTCCCATCAGTGGACCTATTGACTTTCTTGACTTTCTTCTTGTTCCTTACATAAAATTTTCCTTTATTATTTTTGGCCTTTGTTGCCAGTCTTTGCCCATTCCAGGCCTTTGCTATTCCGAGTCGGTCCTTGCAAATTCAGTCTACTCGCTGGTATTCTGCTTTACTTATGTGCCCCTCTTTCCATTTTTTTTCTACCTGACCATATTGTACTTCTCAGAGGGCTCTTTGAGCAACCATTCTGGTATCTCATGATATCTTTAATTTATCTGTGTCTTATTGTTTTTGCTCGGTCCTTCATCGTTTCATTTTCCAGGGTTTTCTTTTAATCAAAATGGACATATATAATACGTTACAGGTGTAGAGTTTAGCTATCTATTAGGGCTTGTTAAGGCACTTGAGCTATGTTTTAACCAAACAAGCTTTTTAAAAAGTGGAAACATATAATAAAGGAGAGAAATATCGGCATATATAGGGGGGTTTAGGATTTTTTTTTCATTTCATACCTTAGATATTATATATGCAGTAGACATATATAATGCATTACAAAAATAGTATAGTTATTGAAGATTTGTTTTAGTCTTTTTTTTAAAGTGGACATATGCATTGAAAATACAGTGTAGGAATATATTAGGACATTTTTAGTATCTCAAGGTTTGTTCTAAATAAATGTATTTCTCAAATTGTGAACATATAGGGTGCAGGAGAAAAGTGGGGTATTAGGGCTTTTTGAGTTACTGGAGGTGTGTTGTAACAGAATGTTTTTTTAACGTTGGCATATATAATGCAGGCGAGCAATAGAGTACTTACAGCTGGATGTTAGGTCGTCCTTCTCTTGCTCCCCCCGAGAGGCTCTGGAGCAGCAGGAGCTTCTGCCTGCCCCCGAGACCCTCTACCCAGCCCCGTCCCCCAGTTCCGCCACCCGCTCCCTCCGCCTTGCTGCCTCGGCGCTCTCTGCTCCCCCGAGGCCTCTCCTGGGGACCCCTCGGCTCCCGGCCCAGCTCCTGGCTCCTCTCCTCTCTTCTCCTCTCCTGCCGGCTGTGGGCTCCCGACTGCTCGGCCCATGCGGCTGCTCGGTTCCAGTTCCAAGGTCCAGCGGTGGCCAGACTAGCCTGGCACACTAGGTAGCAAGTCCCCCACCCCCTCCCGCTCTGCCCCAGTCCCCCATCCTCTCCTGGATATGTAGTGAAACCTGATTGTGCGGCTGCCATCCTGATTTTTCTGCCACCCCAGCACTTCCTGGGCGAGTCCCTGCTGCCATTAATGGTCATTAAGCAAGTGCCATTTTGCCCATTGCTGTCACTTGCCGTAACTCCAAGCCGATCGCCCTGCACCCAAGTCATGAGCGTGCAACCCTGGAGATGCTGCTACAGTCATATGTGCGAGGACCCGTGATACATCACACTTTTCAGTGCCATTGGAAGTGTAGGCACAGCGAGGATCTCCCTCGTTTGGATGTGTCAGAAGAAAGAGACAGTTCCCATTGAGGCAGAATTAGGGGGCGAGACTAGAAATGTGGGGCTCAATCCCGGATCACAGCGGTGCTGATACCTGCCGTGTTAGCAGCCTCCGTTCCTGTGGACAAACTGCCAATCCACCATCTCAAAGGTACATGTCTCCAGAAAGGGGCTGGGACTGGCTGGCTGGGGGGAGGGGCCAGCAATGTGATCTAGAGAAAAATGGGTTTCAAGATGTCCCAGTTCAAGATAGGCATTGAGACCACAAAGCTGGAAACTGACCGGGCTCAAAGATTTGGGGAAATTAAGCTAAAAAGGGACTCCTTTGGCTAGATATGGTTATATCTCGAACACACTCGGCCTGGTGATAGATTTACTTATTTTTTTATTATTTTTATTACTGAGATTTATTACTGACCTTTATTGTTTCCCTAAATAGCTCAAGGCAGTGAACGTACCGAAGAGTCCTTCGTCCCTACAACAACAAGCTTGTGAGGTAGGCTAAGACTGAGAGAGGGAGACTGGCTCAAGGTCACGCAGCAGACTGTCGTGCCTTGGATGGCCCTGGTCAGTACTTGGAGCGGAGGCTTCTTTCCTAATTCGCTTCTTACGGTCACCAGAAGCAACCTAGTAGGGCCAGAGATGGCCAAACTGATCGATTGCTGATGCCGACTCCTTTGCACTCTTTTGAGAGGTGATTTGTCTTTATAAGGAGTCAGAATCAAATGGGAACTTGGGACAGTTAGAAGGGAGGTCATGATCAATGCATTATGTCCATGTTTCCCAAAATGGGCCACTTTAAGGCCGGTTAGCAAAATGGCCCCTGAACGGAGGAAGGATGTGACTGTGTCTCTCCATTTCTTCAAACAGGTCAGCAACAGGGAGGAAACGGCCCTAAAGTGAATATCCCTGGGCTATCTCTCAACGGCCAGTGATGGTCTCCATCTCCAGGTTAAGCAGCCGAGAGATGCCTTTGACCTTCAGACCCAGGAATTCAAGAGACAAACAATGGATGAAAGAGCAGCACAGTTGCCTCAAGAAGACGGTCGATCAACTAAAGAGCACAACAAAAAAGTGGCAGAAAACTGCTGGACAAAAGAGAAAGGTTGGAGCGTGCCACCACCATGATCCCTCAGCGAGGGCTAAAGATCAAATATTTGGTGAAACACACTGAAGAACTGCACAAAGAACGCTGCAGGTCAGCAGCCAAGCGGCCTTTCTCAAATATGAGAAGGCTGCCTTAGAACCTTTGAGAAGCGGTCTCGAAGAAGTCTGGAACCTTCTTAAGAACTGAAGAAGCACCTCTAAAGTCTGCAGCATGAACAGGTTGAGACGGACCAAAGTTACTACGTGGAGAAAAGCCACTCCAGCCAACTGATGCCGAAAGTCAGTCCTCTTCAGCAGAATGTGAGGGGAAAAAAGAAGCAAGTCAACAATCTACAGCAGCAACAGCAGCCGCCGCAGAGCTATGCTTCCCAGGCCACTGTTGGAGACCTGTGGAAAGCCGAGGAGGACAACATAGAAGGACTGAACCATGTCAAAATGACGATGCAAGAATTACAGCTGCAGACGAGGTGTTTCGAGAAAGACAGTGAAGATCTCCACAGGGAGGTCCCCAGCCAAGTGGCCTTCTTCAGAAATGGTTTTGGCGCTCCTAAGCGACCAGCACATGGGACAACTCGCTGACCCTCTCTCCCCATAGCTGGAATGGAGGAACGGTGGCCTTTTACCCTTTCGAGAAAGAAAAGGAATTCTTCCCCTCCCTTCCCCTGACTTGCCACTTAGTGTGCCGGGGAGCCAGGCGAGCCCCCCCCTACCAGCTGAAGCAACACCTTCACCCTCGCCCTCCCAATCACTGCAGGGCTGTCAGCTGAGCTGAACACCTCACAGCCACCGAGCATCAGGGCCTCCGAGGGATGGGGAATCCCAGGGCTCCGAGCCAAAAAGGAGCCTGGAGGTGAACTTGGTAGGGTGAGTCCACAGGCTCCTCTCCAAGCCTCAGAGTTCCAGCTGAGGATGAGGGCCACCAGGGACAGGGTGAGGGCTCTGCGGTGGGCAGAGCAGAAAGTCTGGCCAGAACAGGATCTGGAACCCACAACCGAGTGGCTGAATGAGCCGAGCAGCTGGCATCCCAGCAGCCCACAGGAGAGGAGCAGAGAGGAGAACAGCTAGAAGCCGAACTGGGAGCCGAGGGGTCCGCAGGAGACGCCACGAGGCAGCAGAGACCCCCGGAGGCCGCAAGGCTGACGGAGCTGGTGGCAGAGCTGGAAGACAGGGCTGGGCTGAGGGTCTCGGGGGCAGGCAGACATTCCTGCTGCTCCAGAGCCTGCAAGAGAGTGGCAACAGAAGGGAGAAGCCGGGGGTGGTCAGTGACCTGTGGGTGGTCAAGTAGTCTTAGGGGTGGTAGAACATAAGAGATTGATTCATAGGGCTGGAAGGGACTTTGGAGGTCTTCTACTCCAACCGTCTGCTCAAGGCAGGAACTTTCTGCCATCCCAGTCAAATGGTTTGCTTCTCCATTTTTGAAAACTTCCAGTGATGGAGCACTCACAACTTCTTACTGTCTCAAAATTTCTCCTGACTTCTTGGTTGGGTCTCCCTTTCAACGTCCACCCTTGTCTTTTTTCCTGCTCTGCAGTTCTTAAGTCACTCCCTGTCCTTTGAGACAGACCCTAACAGTGTGGAAGACTGCTGTTGTGTCTGCCCGATCCTTATCCTCTTCGATAGGCTACACATAGCGAACTCCCTGAACCGTTCATGAAACGATTTAGCCTCCAGCTCTTAAATCATCTTTGTTGCTCTTCTCTTCAAACTTTCTGCAGTCTCAGCAACATTTTCTATCCCACCAGTGTGATATAATGCGGTACCAGCACTTCTGGCGATCTTGAAACTGCCCCTCTTTTATTGCTGCCTAAGACTGCATTGGCCTATGTTGACATCTGCAGCACACATCTGGCTGATCCTTAAGTGGTTTTCCTCTAGATCCATCTCACAGTTATCCCTGCTGAGCCAGGTACCGCCCATTCTGTGCCTGTGCAATTGATTTTCCTGCCTAAGGAAGAACTGTACTTTTCTCACCAATGAACTGCATCTTGTTAGATGGGCCCAATGTTCACGTCTGTCAAGATCCTCCTGGATATTGAGCCTATCTTCCAACAATCTTGATGTCCTCTGCACATTTGATGAGTTCCCCTTCTATCCCCTCATCTAGATCATTGATGAAGATGTGGAAGAGTCCTAGGCCGAAGGCAGATCCCTGAGCTACCCCACTGAATGCTTCGCCCATGTAGATGTACCGGTAGCTCCATTAAGGAATAAACACTGGGTGCGGCTGGTCAGCCCCCTGAGGACCCACCACTTGATTCTCTATTCCAGGATTTTCCCAGGAATTGATGTCAAGCTCTTTTTCCAGTTCTCTGAGAGCTCCCCTGGGCTGCAGGAGCATTCAGAAATGACGTTTGGTGACCCCAAAATTAGGTCGGCCAGCTCCTTTGGAAGCCTGGGAGGGTTGGTGTCATTTCTACCCATCCAGAGTGGATTGGTCCTCTTTGACTAATTTCGTGCCTATTTGGAATCGTATATAGATTCTATCTCTCTCGATGTTGCTGTTGATAGGCTGATTTTTTTTCTTTTGCTGAAAAAGAGATGGAAAGGAGTTAAGCATTTCTGAATTCACCCTGCTGCCTGTCTCCTTCCTGCCTTCTGCTCCCATCAGTGGACCTATTGACTTTCTTGACTTTCTTCTTGTTCCTTACATAAAATTTTCCTTTATTATTTTTGGCCTTTGTTGCCAGTCTTTGCCCATTCCAGGCCTTTGCTATTCCGAGTCCGTCCTTGCAGATTCAGTCTACTCGCTGGTATTCTGCTTTACTTATGTGCCCCTCTTTCCATTTTTTTTCTACATGGCCTAATTGTCCCTCTTCTTCTCAGAGGGCTCTTTGAGCAACCACGCTGGTATTGCATGATATCTTTAATTTTTCCGTGTCGTATTGTTTTTGCTCGGTCCTTCATCGTTTCATTTTCCCAGGTTTCTTTTAATCAAAATGGACATATATAATACGTTACAGGTGTAGAGTTTAGCTATCTATTAGGGCTTGTTAAGGCACTTGAGCTATGTTTTAACCAAACAAGCTTTTTAAAAAGTGGAGACATATAATTAAGGAGAGAAATATCGGCATATATAGGGGGGTTTAGGATTGTTTTTTCATTTCATACTTTAGATATGATACATGCAGTAGACATATATAATGCATTACAAACATAGTATAGTTATTGAAGATTTGTTTTAGTCTTTTTTTTAAAGTGGACATATGCATTGAAAATACAGTGTAGGAATATATTAGGGCATTTTTAGTATCTCAAGGTTTGTTCTAAATAAATGTATTTCTCAAACTGTGAACATATAGGGTGCAGGAGAAAAGTGGGGTATTAGGGCTTTTTGAGTTACTGGAGGTGTGTTGTAACAGAATGTTTTTTTAACGTTGGCATATATAATGCAGGCGAGCAATAGAGTACTTACAGCTGGATGTTAGGTCGTCCTTCTCTTGCTCCCCCCGAGAGGCTCTGGAGCAGCAGGAGCTTCTGCCTGCCCCCGAGACCCTCTACCCAGCCCCGTCCCCCAGTTCCGCCACCCGCTCCCTCCGCCTTGCTGCCTCGGCGCTCTCTGCTCCCCCGAGGCCTCTCCTGGGGACCCCTCGGCCCCGGCCCAGCTCCTGGCTCCTCTCCTCTCTTCTCCTCTCCTGCGGGCTGTGGGCTCCCGACTGCTCGGCCCATGCGGCTGCTCGGTTCCGGTTCCCAGGTCCAGCGGTGGCCAGACTAGCCTGGCACACTAGGTAGCAAGTCCCCCACCCCCTCCCTCTCTGCCCCCGTCCCCCATCCTCTTCTGGATATGTAGTGAAACCTGATTGTGCGGCTGCCATCCTGATTTTGCTGACACCCCAGCACTTCCTGGGCGAGTCCCTGCTGCCATTAATGGTCATTAAGCAAGTGCAGTTTTGCCCATTGCTGTCACTTGCCGTAACTCCAAGCGGATCGCCCTGCACCCAAGTCATGAGCGTGCAACCCTGGAGATGCTGCTACAGTCATATGTGCGAGGACCCGTGATACATCACACTTTTCAGTGCCATTGGAAGTGTAGGCACAGCGAGGATCTCCCTCGTTTGGATGTGTCAGAAGAAAGAGACAGTTCCCATTAAGGCAGAATTAGGGGGCGAGACTAGAAATGTGGGGCTCAATCCCGGATCACAGCGGTGCTGATACCTGCCGTGTTAGCAGCCTCCGTTCCTGTGGACAAACTGCCAATCCACCATCTCAAAGGTACATGTCTCCAGAAAGGGGCTGGGACTGGCTGTCTGGCTATCTAGAGAAAAAATGGGCTTCAAGATGTCCCAGTTCAAGATAGGCATTGAGACCACCAAGCTGGAAACTGACCGGGCTCAAAGATTTGGGGAAATTAAGCTAAAAAGGGACTCCTTTGGCTAGATATGGTTATTTCACCTACAGACTCGGCCTGGTGATAGATTTACTTATTTATTTATTATTTTTATTACTGAGATTTATTACTGACCTTTATTGTTTCCCTAAATAGCTCAAGGCAGTGAACATACCGAAGACTCCTTCATCCCTACAACAACAAGCTTGTGAGGTAGGCTAAGACTGAGAGAGGGAGACTGGCTCAAGGTCACCCAGCAGACTGTCGTGCCTTGGATGGCCCTGGTCAGTACTTGGAGCGGAGGCTTCTTTCCTAATTCGCTTCTTACGGTCACCAGAAGCAACCTAGTAGGGCCAGAGATGGCCAAACTGATCGATTGCTGATGCCGACTCCTTTGCACTCTTTTGAGAGGTGATTTGTCTTGAAAAGGAGTCAGAATCAAATGGGAACTTGGGACAGTTAGAAGGGAGGTCATGATCGATGCATTATGTCCGTGTTTCCCAAAATGGGCCACTTTAAGGCCGGTTAGCAAAATGGCCCCTGAACGGAGGGAGGATGTGACTGTGTCTCTCCATTTCTTCAGACAGGTCAGCAACAGGGAAGAAACGGCCCTAAAGTGAATATCCCTGGGCTATCTCTCTGTGGCCAGTGATGGTTAAGCAGTCAAGAGATGCCTTTGACCTTCAGACCCAGGAATTCAAGAGACAAACAATGGATGAAAGAGCAGCACACTTGCCTCAAGAAGATGGTCCATCAACTAAAGAGCACAACAAAAAAGTGGCAGAAAACTGCTGGACAAAAGAGAAAGGTTGGAGCGTGCCACCACCATGATCCCTCAGCGAGGGCTAAAGATCAAATATTTGGTGAAACACACTGAAGAACTGCACAAAGAACGCTGCAGGTCAGCAGCCAAGCGGCCTTTCTCAAATATGAGAAGGCTGCCTTAGAACCTTTGAGAAGAGGTCTCGAAGAAGTCTGGAATCTTCTTAAGAACTTAAGAAGCACCTCTATAGTCTGCAGCATGAACAGGTTGAGACGGGCCAAAGTTACTATGTGGAGAAAAGCCACTCCAGCCAACTGATGCAGAAAGTCAGTCCTCTTCAGCAGAATTTGAGGGAAAAAAAGAAGCAAGTCAACAATCTACAGCAGCAACAGCAGCCGCCGCAGAGCTATGCTTCCCAGGCCACTGTTGGAGACCTGTGGAAAGCCGAGGAGGACAACGGAGAAGGACTGAACCATGTCAAAATGACGATGCAAGAATTACAGCTGCAGACCAGGTGTTTCGAGAAAGACAGTGAAGATCTCCACAGGGAGGTCCCCAGCCAAGTGGCCTTCTTCAGAAATGGTTTTGGCGCTCCTAAGCGACCAGCACATGGGACAACTCGCTGACCCTCTCTCCCCATAGCTGGAATGGAGTTACGGTGGCCTTTTACCCTTTCACCCCCTTCCCCTCCCTTCCCCTGACTTGCCACTTAGTGTGCCGGGGAGCCAGGCGAGCCCCCCCCCTTTACCAGCTGAAGCAACACCTTCACCCTCGCCCTCCCAATCACTGCAGGGCTGTCAGCTGAGCTGAACACCTCACAGCCACCGAGCATCAGGGCCTGAGAGGGCTGGGGAATCCCAGGGCTCCGAGCCAAAAAGGAGCCTGGAGGTGAACTTGGTAGGGTGAGTCCACAGGCTCCTCTCCAAGCCTCAGAGTTCCAGCTGAGGATGAGGGCCACCAGGGACAGGGTGAGGGCTCTGCGGTGGGCAGAGCAGAAAGTCTGGCCAGAACAGGATCTGGAACCCAGAACCGAGTGGCTGAATGAGCCGAGCAGCTGGCATCCCAGCAGCCCACAGGAGAGGAGCAGAGAGGAGAACAGCTAGAAGCCGAACTGGGAGCCGAGGGGTCCGCAGGAGACGCCACGAGGCAGCAGAGACCCCCGGAGGCCGCAAGGCTGACGGAGCTGGTGGCAGAGCTGGAAGACAGGGCTGGGCTGAGGGTCTCGGGGGCAGGCAGACATTCCTGCTGCTCCAGAGCCTGCAAGAGAGTGGCAACAGAAGGGAGAAGCCGGGGGTGGTCAGTGGCCTGTGGGTGGTCAAGTAGTCTTAGGGGTGGTAGAACATAAGAGATTGATTCATAGGGCTGGAAGGGACTTTGGAGGTCTTCTACTCTAACCGTCTGCTCAAGGCAGGAACTTTCTGCCATCCCAGTCAAATGGTTTGCTTCTCCATTTTTGAAAACTTCCAGTGATGGAGCACTCACAACTTCTTACTGTCTCAAAATTTCTCCTGACTTCTTGGTTGGGTCTCCCTTTCAACGTCCACCCTTGGCTTTTTTCCTGCTCTGCAGTTCTTAAGTCACTCCCTGTCCTTTGAGACAGACCCTAACAGTCTGGAAGACTGCTGTTGTGTCTGCCCGATCCTTATCCTCTTCGATAGGTTACACATAGCGAACTCCCTGAACCGTTCATGAAATGATTTAGCCTCCAGCTCTTAAATCATCTTTGTTGCTCTTCTCTTCACACTTTCTGCAGTCTCAACAATGTTTTCTATCGGGCTGACCAGAGTTGGATACAGTATTCCAAGGTGGTCTCACCAGTGCGATATAAAGCGGTAGCAGCACTTCTGGCCATCTTGAAACTGCCCCTCTTTTATTGCTGCCTAAGACTGCATTGGCCTATGTTGACACCTGCAGCACACATCTGGCTGATCCTTCAGTGGTTTTCCTCTAGATCCGTCTCACAATTATCCCTGCTGAGCCATTCTGTGCCTGTGCAATTGATTTTCCTGCCTAAGGAAGAACTGTACTTTTCTCACCAATGAACTGCATCTTGTTAGATGGGCCCAATGTTCAAGTCTGTCAAGATCCTCCTGGATATTGAGCCTATCTTCCAACAATCTTGATGTCCTCTGCACATTTGATGAGTTCCCCTTCTATCCCCTCATCTAGATCATTGATGAAGATGTGGAAGAGTCCTAGGCCGAAGGCAGATCCCTGAGGTACCCCACTGAATGCTTCCCTTCTTGTAGATGTACCGGTAGCTCCATTAAGGAATAAATGCTGGGTGCGGCTGGTCAGCCCCCTGAGGACCCACCACTTGATTCTCTATTCCAGGATTTTCCCAGGAATTGATGTCAAGCTCTTTTTCCAGTTCTCTGAGAGCTCCCCTGGGCTGCAGGAGCATTCAGAAATGACGTTTGGTGACACCAAAATTAGGTCTGCCAGCTCCTTTGGAAGCCTGGGAGGGTTGGTGTCATTTCTACCCATCCAGAGTGGATTGGTCCTCTTTGACTAATTTCGTGCCTATTTGGAATCGTATATAGATTCTATCTCTCTCGATGTTGCTGTTGATAGGCTGATTTTTTTTCTTTTGCTGAAAAAGAGATGGAAAGGAGTTAAGCATTTCTGAATTCACCCTGCTGCCTGTCTCCTTCCTGCCTTCTGCTCCCATCAGTGGACCTATTGACTTTCTTGACTTTCTTCTTGTTCCTTACATAAAATTTTCCTTTATTATTTTTGGCCTTTGTTGCCAGTCTTTGCCCATTCCAGGCCTTTGCTATTCCGAGTCCGTCCTTGCAGATTCAGTCTACTCGCTGGTATTCTGCTTTACTTATGTGCCCCTCTTTCCATTTTTTTTCTACATGGCCTAATTGTCCCTCTTCTTCTCAGAGGGCTCTTTGAGCAACCACGCTGGTATTGCATGATATCTTTAATTTTTCCGTGTCGTATTGTTTTTGCTCGGTCTTTCATCGTTTCATTTTCCCGGTTTTTTTTTACTCAAAATGGACATATATAATACATTACAGGTGTAGAGTTTAGCTATCTATTAGGGCTTGTTAAGTCACTTGAGCTATGTTTTAACCAAACAAGCTTTTTAAAAAGTGGAGACATATAATTAAGGAGAGAAATATCGGCATATATAGGGGGGTTTAGGATTGTTTTTTCATTTCATACTTTAGATATGATACATGCAGTAGACATATATAATGCATTACAAACATAGTATAGTTATTGAAGATTTGTTTTAGTCTTTTTTTTAAAGTGGACATATGCATTGAAAATACAGTGTAGGAATATATTAGGGCATTTTTAGTATCTCGAGGTTTGTTCTAAATAAATGTATTTCTCAAACTGTGAACATATAGGGTGCAGGAGAAAAGTGGGGTATTAGGGCTTTTTGAGTTACTGGAGGTGTGTTGTAACAGAATGTTTTTTTAACGTTGGCATATATAATGCAGGCGAGCAATAGAGTACTTACAGCTGGATGTTAGGTCGTCCTTCTCTTGCTCCCCCCGAGAGGCTCTGGAGCAGCAGGAGCTTCTGCCTGCCCCCGAGACCCTCTACCCAGCCCCGTCCCCCAGTTCCGCCACCCGCTCCCTCCGCCTTGCTGCCTCGGCGCTCTCTGCTCCCCCGAGGCCTCTCCTGGGGACCCCTCGGCTCCCGGCCCAGCTCCTGGCTCCTCTCCTCTCTTCTCCTCTCCTGCCGGCTGTGGGCTCCCGACTGCTCGGCCCATGCGGCTGCTCGGTTCCGGTTCCAAGGTCCAGCGGTGGCCAGACTAGCCTGGCACACTAGGTAGCAAGTCCCCCACCCCCTCCCGCTCTGCCCCAGTCCCCCATCCTCTCCTGGATATGTAGTGAAACCTGATTGTGCGGCTGCCATCCTGATTTTGCTGACACCCCAGCACTTCCTGGGCGAGTCCCTGCTGCCATTAATGGTCATTAAGCAAGTGCCGTTTTGCCCATTGCTGTCACTTGCCGTAACTCCAAGCCGATCGCCCTGCACCCAAGTCTTGAGCGTGCAACCCTGGAGATGCTGCTACAGTCATATGTGCGAGGACCCGTGATACATCACACTTTTCAGTACCATTGGAAGTGTAGGCACAGCGAGGATCTCCCTCGTTTGGATGTGTCAGAAGAAAGAGACAGTTCCCATTAAGGCAGAATTAGGGGGCAAGACTAGAAATGTGGGGCTCAATCCCGGATCACAGTGGTGCTGATACCTGCCGTGTTAGCAGCCTCCGTTCCTGTGGACAAACTGCCAATCCACCATCTCAAAGGTACATGTCTCCAGAAAGGGGCTGGGACTGGCTGGCTGGGGGGAGGGGGCAGCAATGTTATCTAGAGAAAAAACGGGCTTCAAGATGTCCCAGTTCAAGATAGGCATTGAGACCACCAAGCTGGAAACTGACCGGGCTCAAAGATTTGGGGAAATTAAGCTAAAAAGGGACTCCTTTGGCTAGATATGGTTATTTCACCTACAGATTCGGCCTGGTGATAGATTTACTTATTTATTTATAATTTTTTTTACTGAGATTTATTACTGACCTTTATTGTTTCCCTAAATAGCTCAAGGCAGTGAACATACCGAAGACTCCTTCGTCCCTACAACAACAAGCTTGTGAGGTAGGCTAAGACTGAGAGAGGGAGACTGGTTCAATGTCACCCAGCAGACTGTTGTGCCTTGGATGGCCCTGGTCAGTACTTGGAGCGGAGGCTTCTTTCCTAATTCGCTTCTTACGGTCACCAGAAGCAACCTAGTAGGGCCAGAGATGGCCAAACTGATCGATTGCTGATGCCGACTCCTTTGCACTCTTTTGAGAGGTGATTTGTCTTGAAAAGAAGTCAGAATCAAATGGGAACTTGGGACAGTTAGAAGGGAGGTCATGATCGATGCATTATGTCCATGTTTCCCAAAATGGGCCACTTTAAGGCCGGTTAGCAAAATGGCCCCTGAACGGAGGGAGGATGTGACTGTGTCTCTCCATTTCTTCAGACAGGTCAGCAACAGGGAAGAAACGGCCCTACAGTGAATATCCCTGGGCTATCTCTCAGTGGCCAGTGATGGTTAAGCAGTCAAGAGATGCCTTTGACCTTCAGACCCAGGAATTCAAGAGACAAACAATGGATGAAAGAGCAGCACACTTGCCTCAAGAAGACGGTCGATCAACTAAAGAGCACAACAAAAAAGTGGCAGAAAACTGCTGGACAAAAGAGAAAGGTTGGAGCGTGCCACCACCATGATCCCTCAGCGAGGGCTAAAGATCAAATATTTGGTGAAACACACTGAAGAACTGCACAAAGAACGCTGCAGGTCAGCAGCCAAGCGGCCTTTCTCAAATATGAGAAGGCTGCCTTAGAACCTTTGAGAAGAGGTCTCGAAGAAGTCTGGAACCTTCTTAAGAACTGAAGAAGCACCTCTAAAGTCTGCAGCATGAACAGGTTGAGACGGGCCAAAGTTACTATGTGGAGAAAAGCCACTCCAGCCAACTGATGCAGAAAGTCAGTCCTCTTCAGCAGAATTTGAGGGAAAAAAAGAAGCAAGTCAACAATCTACAGCAGCAACAGCAGCCGCCGCAGAGCTATGCTTCCCAGGCCACTGTTGGAGACCTGTGGAAAGCCGAGGAGGACAACGGAGAAGGACTGAACCATGTCAAAATGACGATGCAAGAATTACAGCTGCAGACCAGGTGTTTCGAGAAAGACAGTGAAGATCTCCACAGGGAGGTCCCCAGCCAAGTGGCCTTCTTCAGAAATGGTTTTGGCGCTCCTAAGCGACCAGCACATGGGACAACTCGCTGACCCTCTCTCCCCATAGCTGGAATGGAGGAACGGTGGCCTTTTACCCTTTCACTCCCTTCCCCTCCCTTCCCCTGACTTGCCACTTAGTGTGCCGGGGAGCCAGGCGAGCCCCCCCCCCTACCAGCTGAAGCAACACCTTCACCCTCGCCCTCCCAATCACTGCAGGGCTGTCAGCTGAGCTGAACACCTCACAGCCACCGAGCATCAGGGCCTGAGAGGGCTGGGGAATCCCAGGGCTCCGAGCCAAAAAGGAGCCTGGAGGTGAACTTGGTAGGGTGAGTCCACAGGCTCCTCTCCAAGCCTCAGAGTTCCAGCTGAGGATGAGGGCCACCAGGGACAGGGTGAGGGCTCTGCGGTGGGCAGAGCAGAAAGTCTGGCCAGAACAGGATCTGGAACCCAGAACCGAGTGGCTGAATGAGCCGAGCAGCTGGCATCCCAGCAGCCCACAGGAGAGGAGCAGAGAGGAGAACAGCTAGAAGCCGAACTGGGAGCCGAGGGGTCCGCAGGAGACGCCACGAGGCAGCAGAGACCCCCGGAGGCCGCAAGGCTGACGGAGCTGGTGGCAGAGCTGGAAGACAGGGCTGGGCTGAGGGTCTCGGGGGCAGGCAGACATTCCTGCTGCTCCAGAGCCTGCAAGAGAGTGGCAACAGAAGGGAGAAGCCGGGGGTGGTCAGTGGCCTGTGGGTGGTCAAGTAGTCTTAGGGGTGGTAGAACATAAGAGATTGATTCATAGGGCTGGAAGGGACTTTGGAGGTCTTCTACTCCAACCGTCTGCTCAAGGCAGGAACTTTCTGCCATCCCAGTCAAATGGTTTGCTTGTCCATTTTTGAAAACTTCCAGTGATGGAGCACTCACAACTTCTTACTGTCTGAAAATTTCTCCTGACTTCTTGGTTGGGTCTCCCTTTCAACGTCCACCCTTGTCTTTTTTCCTGCTCTGCAGTTCTTAAGTCACTCCCTGTCCTTTGAGACAGACCCTAACAGTGTGGAAGACTGCTGTTGTGTCTGCCCGATCCTTATCATCTTCGATAAGTTACACATAGCGAACTCCCTGAACCGTTCATGAAACGATTTAGCCTCCAGCTCTTAAATAATCTTTGTTGCTCTTCTCTTCAAACTTTCTGCAGTCTCAACAATGTTTTCTATCGGGCTGACCAGAATTGGATACAATATTCCAAGGTGGTCTCACCAGTGCGATATAAAGCAGTACCAGCACTTCTGGCGATCTTGAAACTGCCCCTCTTTTATTGCTGCCTAAGACTGCATTGGCCTGTGTTGACAGCTGCAGCACACATCTGGCTGATCCTTAAGTGGTTTTCCTCTAGATCCGTCTCACAATTATCCCTGCTGAGCCAGGTACCGCCCATTCTGTCCCTGTGCAATTGATTTTCCTGCCTAAGGAAGAACTGTACTTTTCTCACCAATGAACTGCATCTTGTTAGATGGGCCCAATGTTCACGTCTGTCAAGATCCTCCTGGATATTGAGCCTATCTTCCAACAATCTTGATGTCCTCTGCACATTTGGTGAGTTCTCCTTCTATCCCCTCATCTAGATCATTGATGAAGATGTGGAAGAGATCTAGGCCGAAGGCAGATCCCTGAGGTACCCCACAGAATGCTTCCCTTCTTGTAGATGTAGCGGTAGCTCCATTAAGGAATAAACACTGGGTGCGGCTGGTCAGCCCCCTGAGGATCCACCACTTGATTCTCTATTCCAGGATTTTCCCAGGAATTGATGTCAAGCTCTTTTTACAGTTCTCTGAGAGCTCCCCTGGGCTGCAGGAGCATTCAGAAATTATATTTGGTGACCCCAAAATTAGGTCTGCCAGCTCCTTTGGATGCCTGGGAGGCAAACCATCTGGTCGGCGTGATTTCTACCCATCCAGAGTGGATTGGTCCTCTTTGACTAATTTCGTGCCTATTTGGAATCGTATATAGATTCTATCTCTCTCGATGTTGCTGTTGATAGGCTGTTTTTTTTTCTTTTGCTGAAAAAGAGATGGAAAGGAGTTAAGCATTTCTGAATTCACCCTGCTGCCTGTCTCCTTCCTGCCTTCTGCTCCCATTAGTGGACCTATTGACTTTCTTGACTTTCTTCTTGTTCCTTACATAAAATTTTCCTTTATTATTTTTGGCCTTTGTTGCCAGTCTTTGCCCATTCCAGGCCTTTGCTATTCCGAGTCGGTCCTTGCAAATTCAGTCTACTCGCTGGTATTCTGCTTTACTTATGTGCCCCTCTTTCCATTTTTTTTCTACCTGACCATATTGTACTTCTCGGAGGGCTCTTTGAGCAACCATGCTGGTATCTCATGATATCTTTAATTTTTCTGTGTCTTATTGTTTTTGCTCGGTCCTTCATCGTTTCATTTTCCAGGGTTTTCTTTTAATCAAAATGGACATATATATAATACGTTACAGGTGTAGAGTTTAGCTATCTATTAGGGCTTGTTAAGGCACTTGAGCTATGTTTTAACCAAACAAGCTTTTTAAAAAGTGGAGACATATAATAAAGGAGAGAAATATCGGCATATATAGGGGGGTTTAGGATTTTTTTTTCATTTCATACTTTAGATATTATATATGCAGTAGAGATATATAATGCATTACAAAAGTAGTATAGTTATTGAAGATTTGTTTTAGTCTTTTTTTTAAAGTGGACATATGCATTGAAAATAGAGTGTAGGAATATATTAGGGCATTTTTAGTATCTCGAGGTTTGTTCTAAATAAATGTATTTCTCAAATTGTGAACATATAGGGTGCAGGAGAAAAGTGGGGTATTAGGGCTTTTTGAGTTACTGGAGGTGTGTTGTAGCAGAATGTTTTTTTAACGTTGGCATATATAATGCAGGCGAGCAATAGAGTACTTACAGCTGGATGTTAGGTCGTCCTTCTCTTGCTCCCCCCGAGAGGCTCTGGAGCAGCAGGAGCTTCTGCCTGCCCCCGAGACCCTCTACCCAGCCCCGTCCCCCAGTTCCGCCACCCGCTCCCTCCGCCTTGCTGCCTCGGCGCTCTCTGCTCCCCCGAGGCCTCTCCTGGGGACCCCTCGGCTCCCGGCCCAGCTCCTGGCTCCTCTCCTCTCTTCTCCTCTCCTGCCGGCGGTGGGCTCCCGACTGCTTGGCCCATTCGGGTGCTCGGTTCCGGTTCCAGCCGTGGCCAGACTCGCCCGGCAAACTAGGTATCAAGTCCCCCACCCCCTTTCTATCTGCCACCGTCCCCCATCCTCTCCTGGATATGTAGTGAAACCTGATTGTGCGGCTGCCAGCGGCTGCCATCCTGATTTTTCTGACACCCCAGCACTTCCTGTAATGCCATTAATGGTCATTAAAGAATGCAAGTTTTCAAATGCAGAATTTTTTTTTCATTTTTTATTCATATTTTATTGATTTCATTTATATAAAACATCTTGTATTTATGGCTTATTTTTGGAAGCTGTGGGGCCTGGGTGTGTTTTGTGGGAGTAGGGGAAGGAAGGGCAATGAAAATGAGCATCCTTCCATGCGAGTCCATCTACCTCGAAGTGTAGCTAAAAAGACAGACGAGTCACTTGACTGTTCTCTCATCTAAGTCATTGATGAAGATATTGAAGAGTCCTGAGCCTAAGACGGAACATTGTGGTACCCCACTGCTTACTTCTCTCCATGTGGATATAGTGTAGTGAGAGAGAGAAAAAGAGAGAGGGGGGGAGAGAGGGAGAGAAAGAGAGAGAAAAGAGAGGGAGAGAGGGAGGGAGAGAGAGAGAAAGAAAGAAAGGGGGAGAGGAGAGAGGGAGAAAGAGAGGGAGAGAGAGAAAGAGAGAGCGAGAGGAAAGAGGGAGAGGGAGAGGAAAGAGAGAGAGAGAGAGAAAGAGAGAAAGAGAAAGAGAGAGAGAGGAAACAGAGAAAGAGAGAGAGAACTCATGCACAGCAGCCTCTATTTTATTTTTAATTAAACCCTTCAAACAAGCTCCGCCCCTCATGCCTGTGCACCTGCGCTTGCAAGTTTTGCTGCTCCCAGTGTTTTTTTTTCCTCTGGGAAACGAGTCCAAGTGGCTCTTTGAGTGTTTAAGGTTGCAGACCCCTGGCTTAGGCCATCATTTTGCAGGATTTCGAGGTACACTGAGAAAATGCCATTTTGGTTTTCAGAACATCAAAGAAGCAGCTAGGAAGATATGTATCTGCTGAATCAAGTTTGTCCTGTTGAAAGAAAAATCATAAGGTCCAGTCCAAGCTGGGAATAAATAAAATGGAGGCTGTTTGGAAAGAAGATTCTTGTTTATTTACTTACCCGAAACTTCAGTGACACAGCATGTTTCTGGGTGGCTGACAAAATGGAGCTGGGAATGGTGGGCTTTTATACCTTCTTTGGGCTTTGTATTTGAGGTTCTTCCTGTCCCTGTGCAATGTACTTACACCTGGCTTGAGTGTGCCCTTTTGGGGTTTTTTAAAGGTGGTGGGTTAATCCTATTATGTCCTAAAGGTCACGTTCCTGTCCTTCATCTCTTCATTTGGAGGCTCCTTTCAAGTAGGAAGGCCTGAATCCAGTCCGCAAATCCCACGGGAGCCCTCTTCTCCGTTCCATCATCCCGCAGCTGTGTTGATTGCAGTTCCAAGAACTCCCGTGGATGAGATGCCCATAGGTCAGAAGCATCCCCGATGATGTAATCAAAGCTCTGCTGAGAATCCTGGGAGTTGTAATTGAACCTGTCTGAAATTGCCAAGCTGAAGAAAGCCATCCCCAGGACAGATTCAAGACACCAGACCCCCTCCTGAAGATCAACACTGTGTTTGCACCCAGAAGCTCTTTCCCCTCTGTCCTTCTCCCACTTCCTATCTCTTTCCTCAATTCCCAGGAAAGAAGAAGAATCCGGTGCAATGAGTCATCCTGATTTGCGGCCTCCCACTTGTGGGCCTTCTCCTGCATTTGCTACTCTGGACAAGCAGGTAGCCACTCCCAAGAAACCTTCAACCTTCCACAAAATGTCAAAAATGAAGACGTGGCTCAAGATTTCTTAACATCCATCTTGAAATAGTCAGCTAACAATCACTGCCCCAAAGAAAGGAATAGAGCAGTCCAGGGAGTGTGGGCGATGGGGAGGTCCTGCCCTTCTGATCTGGCCAGCTTCTCAGCTCATGGTCCAGCCAGCTGGGCGCAGGGCCAATGGCTCTCCGGTCTCTGACCGACGTGCCGGTTCCATCTGCCCATAGAAGGCAGGAAAGGAGTCACAAAAAGGGACAATTTTACAAAAGGATCATCATCGTCGTCGTCATCATTACCAAGAAAGCCAGACCAGCTTCAGTTCCCAGAGAGGCTCCAGGCCCCTCGCAAAGTCTGTTGCAGGAGGAAGCTTTTTGACGAAGGAGCACAGACTTGGCCGACTCTTCCTTAGCGCTCTTGTGCCAAGGAAGCCCCTGGGAGTCATAGAGTCCCCCAATCTTGCCCACCTCCCCCTCCCTGCCTCCCTCCCACCATCCACAGGGAGCTTGGATTCCCCAAAGTGACAACCTCCTTACCGGAGCTGTTTTCACACCATTTGTCTGTTGTCTCAGCACAATTCTGGATTTCCAGAAAGCTGGCAAGGGGCTCCCAGGAATTAAAACCCACCAGCAAGAGCAAACGGAGTCCCACATCCAAAAGAAAGAACAGGGAATGTGGCTCCAGGTCTGCTCTGGGACGGAGCACAGAAAGCTCAGCTATTCTGCAGCGACACCACGGAGGGAGGACAGAAGTGCTGATGGAGCTGCAGAGAGTCAGCAACGTAAAATGAGACCTCTGTCGGCCGTTGAAAATGCTAGTGGCACTGAAAAAAGGGATTTATGACCAGTCCTCACAGTTACAACCATTGCAAAATTCCCAGTCACATGATCAAAAGGTGGGCACTTGGCAGCCAGCTTGTATTTGTCACGGTTGCAGTCTTTGGCTCATGTGATCTCAATCTGAAACTTTCCCAACTGGCTTCCAACAAACTAAGTCAATGGGAAAAGCCGGATTCCCTTAATGAAACGAACCCCAAACTCGGGATTCATTTCGCAACTGCAGCGATTTCCTTAACAACGGTAGCTCTGACTCACAGAAGGACCTGCTTGAGTCGCCGAGGAACGGCGGGCTTGTATCATGGCCATAAGTCAAGGACTCCCTGCATCCCTCGGGTTCCCTAGGTGGATCCCTTGCAGTAGTGCAGTCGCTGTAAGTAACAGAGTGTCTCAGACATTGGCGGTCACTCTGCAGATCCCAGAGGAATTCAAGTAGGGCCGCCCTCCATGGGGGGAGATGAGCCCCCTGACTTGGGCGGCTGCACCCAGGCGGTTTTCCTGTGAGGGATACAGCTTGGCCACTTTCTCTCTCTCTCTCTCTTGTTTTATTTTTTATTACTTTAAGGCATAAAATGCAAAAAGACACAAGACAAGAGTAGGAAGAATTGGGGAGGAAAAAAGGGAGGGAAAAGGGGAAAAGAGAAAGAAAAGGCGTTAACTTCCAACTCCCTTCGCAAACTAACCCCGGCATTTCCTAGTGGTCTCCCATCCCTGCTTTAATCCAAGTCTGCTTAAGCTTTTCCAGATCAGTCCACTGCTACATCCTTAAGGCAGTCCTCAACTTACAGCCAGAATTGGAACCAGTATTGCCATTGCTAAGCTAGGTGGTCCTTAAGCGAGTTGTCCTCAGATTTACGGTGTTTTTGACATGATCGTTAAACGAATCACGGTAGTTGTTTAGTGAATCAGGCAGTCATTAAGCAAGTGCAGTTTTGCCCATTGCTGTCACTTGTCCTAACTCCAAGCCGATGGCCCTGCACCCGTCATGAGTGTGCGATCCTGGGGTTGCTGCTACAGTCATATGTGCGAGGACCCGTGATACATCACTCTTTCAAGTGCCATTGGAACTTGGAACAGTCCCAAAAGCAAAGGCTATAAAATGAGGACTATTGTGGGGTACTTGGTTAGGGACTGTACAACATTTAATCTTTTTGTTTCTTTAGCCACATTTTCATAACATCTTTTTAAGCTGAATAACATCTAATCCCTTTGACTCCAATTGACATGGACAGAAAACCTGGATTCTCTGGATCTCTAATGCTAGATTTCAGATGCAAGGGACAACGTTTTAATTTGGACTTTACCCCCAAAACAAGGGGCAACATCTGTGGCTTCCCAGCTCTCCGGACAATGGACAGTTGTCCATTCAGGTGGAGGAGCTCTGGTGGATGAGGATTCAGGGCTCACTTGCAAAAGCCCCTGAAGAGCCGGCCAATCAGTGAATAAGCCAGGCCCTCCAGTGAAGGCAGCCAGTTGGTGATTATTTTTCAACTCTCAGCTTGGCTTGTGACATCAGGGGCTCCTCCTAACCTCATTGGCTGGAGGTTGCCATGACAACCTCCAGCATCCTTGGTAGTTTGGACCACAGGGCTGGAAAGCTCTGTTCCAAATCCCTGGAAAGTGACTGGATTGGATGGCTGGCAGTGTGGGCACAGTGAGGACCTCCCTCATTTGGACGTGTCAGAAGGAAGAGACAGTTCCCGTTAAGGCAGAATTAGGGGGCAAGACTAGAAAAGTGGGGTTCAATCCTGGATCACAGTGGTGCTGATCACTGCAGGAGCATTCAGAAATGACGTTTGGTGACCCCAAAATTAGGTCGGCCAGCTCCTTTGGAAGCCTGGGAGGGTCGGCGTGATTTCTACCCATCCAGAGTGGATTGGTCCTCTTTGACTAATTTCATGCCTATTTGGAATCGTATATAGATTCTATCTCTCTCGATGTTGCTGTTGATAGGCTGTTTTTTTTTCTTTTGCTGAAAAAGAGATGGAAAGGAGTTAAGCATTTCTGAATTCACCCTGCTGCCTGTCTCCTTCCTGCCTTCTGCTCCCATTAGTGGACCTATTGACTTTCTTGACTTTCTTCTTGTTCCTTACGTAAAATTTTCCTTTATTATTTTTGGCCTTTGTTGCCAGTCTTTGCCCATTCCAGGCCTTTGCTATTCCGAGTCCGTCCTTGCAAATTCAGTCTACTCGCTGGTATTCTGCTTTACTTATGTGCCCCTCTTTCCATTTTTTTTCTACCTGACCATATTGTACTTCTCGGAGGGCTCTTTGAGCAACCATGCTGGTATCTCATGATATCTTTAATTTTTCTGTGTCTTATTGTTTTTGCTCGGTCCTTCATCGTTTCATTTTCCAGGGTTTTCTTTTAATCAAAATGGACATATATAATACGTTACAGGTGTAGAGTTTAGCTATCTATTAGGGCTTGTTAAGGCACTTGAGCTATGTTTTAACCAAACAAGCTTTTTAAAAAGTGGAGACATATAATAAAGGAGAGAAATATCGGCATATATAGGGGGGTTTAGGATTTTTTTTTCATTTCATACCTTAGATATT